CACAAAACACAGTTCTATCTACAAGTTTGTGAGATGAGACATAAAACTTGTCCCTGGGAGGTGAAGTATGCTGTATTGATTATCATAAGGCCAAGAATGCCTACAATCATTTCAGGCTTTAATATTCATGTTTTATATCCACTTTCAGCTGACATACTTGTACCTTAATTCCATAGCCAATGGCCATTTTTTTTATTCCTTTAAAGTTTAGTCTTACTGGCAAAACAACATAAAGACCCCTCCCCGTACCTCTTCAGATAATCAGTATCTAACCCAGAGGCGGATTTAGGCCGTCTTCTGGGTCTTCTGGAAGAAGATCAGATTTTCAAGTTTACATTGACAGGTATCTATTTTTTTCTGTTGGAAGACGGTCAAAAATGGGGGATGGTAACAAAGATAATTTGGAAGACTGTCAGAAAATATCTTTGGATCCGCCCCTGTAATCCATTCCATACAAAGAAGACTTGGTTACCGTGTTATTTAACCTTTACCTTCAGTATCACTTTGATAGATGCCCCCCCCCCCAACCACACACAAACAGACACCATTCCATGTTCCAAACTGGTACTTTTTGGCAGTATGTCACTTTGACATTATACCTGTTTACAAGGATACATATAAATGTAAACACTTCAACCACAGTACAGTTTTAGTCACTAACCTAAATGACCCTTTGAACAGCAGATATAAATCAACAAATACCTTCAGGCAGCAAAGGTGAGGCTTGGATGGAATTTGCAGACAAATACTGACCACGTTAGAATTGCTACTGCATGTTATTTAACATGATCTTGTATCAATAAAGGTATACTATAGCCTTCCCTTTTCACCTTTATTTGAATAAGCTGCCCAGCAAGGCGTCAGTGAATAATGTCAGATTTATTTTATTTTCAATAACATAAGTAAAGCATTTTGAGTGGAAGACAGACAAATTCTTATACTGGCACGAAGAGACCAGCTAATAATATATCAAAGATTGCAAGTTAAATACCTTTTTTAAAAAAGTTAAATATCTACCTATTTGTAGCTTTCCAAATAAATACTTTTAATGATCACGACTCCATCACTTTTATCAAAAAATAAAAATAATAATAATAATAATAAAAACATAAATAATCCTACACTTGGTAGACTGGCTATGATCTAGTATTTACACATCAGTCAATATACAAAAAAAAAAAAAAAAATGATAATCTGTCATTTCTTGGAAAATGCTGCCCCCTGGTGTACAACATGATAACTATGAAGATGAATTTTACAAAATTCCAGCATGGAAGCAGCATAAATCACATGATCACAAAAAGGAAACTCCTCTGGGTGTTACATTTCCCTTTGAGTGCATATGAAAAGTTCAGTAGGTGAAAGAATGTACTCGCAGACATCATGACATATCTCTCTGACTAGATCACAACTTCACAGACGCTATTCTCATTAAATCGATCCTTATTTCTCATTAACTGTTTGCACCACTTCACAGTTCACTGAAGAGAATTGCGTCAATGAATGATAATTGTTTGCTCATCAAGGACCCCTTTGCCAAAAAAAGAGAAAATGAAAAATAAAAAGAACTACAAGCTTTTAAAGAGAAATTTCTGTTTTCTATATGCAGTAAGATTGATCACCTTTAGTTATATGCAAAATGTACATTCTAACACTAAACCAACTAACTTTTTTTAAAACATCTAAATGAACATTTTAGGCATTAATAACAAAACATTTTTGGGAAGCTACTCATTCTTTCCGTTTTGAATTCACAACAAACATTAATTTCTAACAAAGCTCCCTAACCTGACCCACACACTTAAACTGTATTCCCAGAGCTTTTAGATCGATCTATCCCCACGGGGAGTCTCACTAGATTACTGTCAGATAATCTGGCTTAAATGTCCGTCCCGCCTACTACAAGCTATAAGGGGGTAATTAACTTTCGTGTCCGCTCGGCTGACAGCTATTTAGCGTGAACCCCCAGGGAGTTAGGTCTATCTAAAGTAGATCGATCTAATCTCTGGAAATGGGGTCTTAACTGCAATCAAGTGGTCTACTTCCTGCAGTTAGTGTTAAAGAAGACTTTATTCAAACAATGCTAGATGGGACTGACGTAGACCTCCACCATGAAGAGGGATTACCTTTTCATCAGCATTATTTTATCCATATACGTCCATTTGCCTCTGTTTATTAGATAACAAATTACCTCAAAAATTGCCCACAAATAGTTTTATTGGGAATGTGGGCAAAAAACACTTTTTTGTGGAAGGTGCTGATTTTTCATGACTTAACCACTACCACAACTTCTTGTGTTCAAGTGCAGCTAACATGACATACATAAGAAAACTATGCAGTGGTCTGTTGATACCAGCATGTTGAATACTGAGTTCAACTGAGCTTACAATAACTCATATTTCCCCTTTAAAAGTAAAGAAATGAAACCCATTAATGTGGCTTAGTCCTTTTTAGCAGCCTCAACTGGGGTCATATAAGCACCACTGATATTTCAAGTTCTGATTCAACCCATGGATTTTTCCTTCTTCGTGTAAAATCTAACGGGCCTTGCAGATTTGATGTGGGACAGCTATATTTTTAAATAAGGGATCATTTACTTGTACACTGCAGAGATCTAGAGATGAAAAGCTAGCCATCATTAGATCTGAGGATCATGGTACTTAAATGAAAAATGCAGGAAAATAATTCAGAATTCTGCTAAGTACCAGCACACTGTAATACATAAACCAAGCTGATGTTAGCATCAGGCACAAACTATTCAAGTCTTTGGTAATGCTCCCACTGCTTTCCTTGTCTAATAAATTACACAGTAAGACTAGATCAAGTTCTAGCCAAGAATCTTCTAAATTTGAGCCTTAGCTTGCACCAGAAGCGAGGAATCAACAGCAGACCACAAAACAGCTTTGCAAAGATACATCCTTGTAAGATGACATAAGAGTGGAGTTCATGCCATATTCTACTGCAATCGGTACCTTACAGCACGTAAGACATACATGCTCAATTTAACTCAATGTGAATCACTACAGAACTGAGGTTCTTTTTTTCTTATTTCAAGATGTTTTTTTTTTTTTTTGTATTTCTCACTCCTGCATGATGAACTAACTACACAACATTATGTAACATACACGTTTAATACCATCATATTTGTTTTTTGTTTTTTTTATAACAGCTACCAGACCAAAAAGTGTTAAAATTTAGCTTCAGATCTTTGACTTCATATGCCTACAAAATGCTTACCTTATATTTCAGAAAACACCACCATAACATTCATTCATTTGCCAAAGGATATTCCTCCAAAGAATACCATTTTTTATTCATAATACTTGCACTATGCAAGTGCATGCCTGCACATCATTTTTGACAGAGATACATATGTACTCTACACCTGCCTATACCCATGTGCATTCAGACATGCACTATACACCTGTAGTGTTCACCTGCCAATGCATTAAACACTGTACACATGAGAATCCAGACAGGCAGGCATACAAATGAATGCAAAGTGTATAGTCACCAAAAATCAGATAGGGACAGACTTCTGCAAACCGATATATACATATCAATGCATAAACATATATACATGAATAAAAAAAAACAGAAGGGCAATGGACAGACAGGCAGGAAGACAGAATGATAAACAGACAGACAGATAGACAAAATTATTGACAATAGGGCCAAAGGGGAGACAGGCAGACCTACACACAGACAGACTATACTAGTACATTTCCTCACATACATACACATGTACAGCCACCATCACACATATGTACATGCACAAGACTTCATTGATCACAGACACATATACAGCTGTGACCCCATTCACACATCCTTTACTTATTAATTCATTACAGACAATGTGTAGGATTCTGTTAACTTGGTTATATGTAACATTCTCAAACCATTGCTGATACTGTAATTGCACTTTCTGCTGAAAAAAAGGATCGTTTGAACCTGAAATATTGATGATAATGAGGAATGGAATTTACTGGGCAATTAAAAAGAGGACACCTTGGTTCACTTTCGGATAAAATTTCTTTTAGTCAAATAAGCAAATAATTTCACATGGAATCAGAATGGAATTAACTTATTGATAAAAAAGGTTATAATCTGGATAACCCTGGAATAGAATCTAAATAGTTAAAAAGTTAATTAAAGTCATATTAAATGTTATAACCTTTAATTATCAATGAGAATTCTGACTTTAAAAAAAATCTTCCTCAACCAAATTAAAAGATATACATTTAGCATTTGACTGAAATCTACCCTGAACTAAAGTGAGCCAAGGACACATACTGTATCTCCTGCAAATAAATACAAAACACAGGGGAGATGCAACAGTGAAATACACACACTAGAATACATCATACTTCATAATACACATTCCTGTGTGTATTTACATATACATGTAACCATCAAATTAACAAAATCAACACACAATTCACATTCCAGAGGGAGACGTAGCTTTCAGACACTAATCTCCCTAGCTGTTGGGATTAAGGGAAATAAGCTCCTATTCTGTTTATTCACATAGCTGGGCATGTTAAATGGGATACATGTGGCAGTTACGATGTAGGATGTATCAATGCATTGTATCACGTTGTAATCTGTTCTTTTTTTAGTATGTTGGCCTTAAATATATATTGCAGCATAAAAAGCCTGCAAATGGGTTAAAGTAACATTTTGTCTGCTATTTGTTACTTAACGAAATGGCACCAACATGAGCAATTAAGCTCTCAGTGTGCTGTAGAAGTATCAGAATAAGAATGTGAAAGTATAAGTAAAGGAAGTGGTGCCTCTGTGTGTGTGTGTGTGTGTGTGTGTGTGTGTACGCACGCGCGTGCACACGTATTTGTGTTCATGTGTATATGTGTGTCTGTACACCCACATGTGTGCTCGGGGGGGGGGGGGGAGAAGCTGAGATTTCTAACATAATGTTCTTCTTTCTCTGGTATTAAAAAATGTGATAAGAAACACAAGCAAGCACATGAGCAACAACCTACCTTTCATCGCCTTCTTCGCCTTTGGTCTCAGTGCTGCCTGCCAGTGGACCGATGGCCGTCCCCATAACCTCTAACAATGGTGGCGTCAGCACTGCTGCCGTCTGTGCTGCCGTTTCTTTTACATCAATACTCAGCTGATTCCCATCCATGTCAGTGGCAGGGGTGCCGTTGAGAGGGTACCCAGCATTCCCTGTCATCATGGCTGGCACCATCTGCTGTAAGTCGTCCGAGTCCTGGGTCCCTTGCGCCTGGGATGAGGGTTGGCGTGGAGCCGAAGGGTCCGAGCCTGGCAAGGAGGGTTGCTTGGGTGGGATCCCCTGGGGCAACAAGCCCTCTGTCCCTGGGGGTAGTTGCTGTTGTTGTTGCGGTTGTGGGGGTGGCTGTTGTACACCAGCTTGGGATGCTGAACCACCGGTGGCACCTGGCTGTTGTTGTTGTTGTTGCTGCTGTGGCTGTTGTTGCTGTTGTAACATTTGGCCTGCTGCTGCTGCTGCTGTTTTCTGTTGCTGTTGCTGACTACTGCTGACGGGTTGTTGTTGTTGTGACTGTGAAGCTACCTGGCCACTCGGGCCTTGTGACTGGTGATAATGCTGTTGCTGCTGTTGTCCTTGTTGTTGCTGTTGTTTTTGCTGTTGTTGCGATGATGGACCTCCACCCGGACCTCCACCGACTGGGATAAAATTGCTATTCTGTGTGCCTAATACTGGTTGATTTGACTGAGCATAGCCGCCTCCTTCGGCAGCCTGTACCTGTGGCATTGATAGGTGCAAAGACGCAATGGGAGGCTGAGGATAGTCCGTACTTGGCACAGTTTGAGTCATGGCCCCATTCTGTCCTCCAATACTGTGACTGTTCATACTGAGGGGCAATGCACCAGTTTCATTAGTAACCGAGTGCTCCTCCCCCATCCCGTACACTGGCTGTGGGACTACAATAACATTGTGATGCTCAGTCTGTAATATAACAGGCACCATCATTTCCATACTATTGGGAGGACTTTTGATTGGGCTGAGGGGGTTGAAGGGATTTTTGGTTGGGTCATCGACACCTGGGATATAATGCACGGAGCTTGCAGCACTTGAGTTACCGGACCCAGTCCCGGATCCCTCTCCTACCCCGTCCATTTTCTCCACTACTGGAGGGTCGAGAAAATCGAAGCAAGACCACCTGCCCCTGCAAAATGGCTCTTTGCTGGCAATTTTCACCACTTTGAATCTTGAGGCAGTCTCCTTGTTCTCACCCTCAATTTCTAACTGCTGATCTGTAGTGGTTTCCTCATCAGAGGATTCATTCCCATCATGAATCTCAGTTACTTTGGAACTATCCAATAATTCTGAACTCAGATCCTCAGTGTGACTTTCCTCTAGCTCGTCTATAGAATCAGCATCACCCTCATTGATTGTGTCATTTGCCTGGCGATTTGACTTGGCTATTTTAACACTGGTAATCTGGAAAGAGCTCCTCTTTTTATTCCCAATGGTGCCCTTCTCTCCGCCCTCCTCACTGGGTACGACTTCCTCCGACCCTACTTGAGGCACTCCAACGTGATTTTCAGTAGGTTTTACAACGCCACTACCTGGTTCTGATGTAGAACCAGATACCAGAAGGTCTGAATTATTCTGGGTAGCCATTTTTACTGGTAACCAAATTGAACCAAGCTCAACAGACACAACTTGCACTGACTGCGAGACTTGCTGCTGAAGAAAATTAGTCACGTTCTCGCTGTTTTCAAAGTCCAAACGTAATACTACAGTACCTTTGTAGCTCAACCCACCTCCATATCAGCATACCTGTCCAATTCTGACCGGAATTTTGTCTCACGCTGTTAAGAACAGCTCTAATTGATAAAATACCACATCCTCTGAGAGATCTCTCTGTCACAACTCTCAATATGGCGGACATGAGCAATGAGGGATTATGGGACTGACCTATTTACGTCACTTCTAGCAGACAACTTTTGCTTTCTCGCAAATGTGGTTATCTAAACAATAAGTTAGTGAAATACCGTGCTTGCTGCATACCAGATCTAGCATTTACGATGCCCACCTTTGTTGTTTGAAGATGATAATTTCGGATGTTGCACCAAAACACACCGTGAGACACAAAGAGTCTACCTGTAGGCCTACGTACTCCTGTATATTGTAATCAGGTACTCGCAGGCCACCTAGGCTTAGTAGGCGAGGTGAGGAGCAGCATTTGATGTGAAAAATTGCCTTATAAACATATATTTGTTTTGAAAATTAACTTTTTATCCTCACGAGTTGTAAACTGAAAAAAGCACACGGTTTTTGTAGCCCAGTACTAGAAATCATTTCTGAAAATTTGTTTTTTTATTTATTTTTTATTTTTCTTCTTTTTTTTTTTTCAAAGCCTAGATCTTCTTTGCCAAAAACCGTTCTCATCTCAAACTTCATCTGAATCATGTATGAATGAAAACACGTAGCCCACGCGTGTCCTAATAGACACTATTTATGTCAACACTGCTGGAGAGGACAAGTAAACATATCCCCGATGGCAAATAATGATATATGACTTCCAATAGTCAGCGAGCACTGATAACAAAGGAGCAACATTGCCTTACAAAGCAGGACAAGGGATAACATCGAGGGGGACATGGGGGCCAAAAATAAAATAGAACTGATAATTAAATATAAATGATATAACCATAAATACAAAAACGTTACAGGTCCGGTAGACTAATTGTGAAAACATATTTTAACAGCTAAATTTCAGGTTGAGGCCCAAAGCTGTAGTAGGGGTAGAGGGAGGGGGGGGGGGGTTCAAATGATCACCCCTCTTTTTGCCGGCCACGCGAAAGGACCCCTCTGGGCAAAAAGTGAACGACGGTTTTATGGTAAAAGGGAGAAAAAGGACCCCGCCCCTTTTGAAATTACTGGCTACGGGCCTGGGGTTGTTCGGTGTGTGTTTGTGATTGTGTGTGTATATCAATTTTAATTTGAGGGCACGGTGGGGGTGGAGTGGAAATGTCAAATTTAAAGGGCAATTACATAGTATAAAACATCGACAACAAGTTTTTTTTTTCAAGTTTCAATTGCGAAATTCCTCCTGCACTTATCAAACCAATACCTTTTTCCATTTAAATAAATAAATAGGTATGAAAAAATCGAATTTCCTCAAATATAAGGTCCAATTTTTAAATGCCCGAGGTTCATCTGTACGAAAACAAATTAGCCTAAATAAATAATAATACAGACACCAAAGGGAAGGTTAAGGATGGGTATGGGAATAATTTAAAAAAAATGAAGAGGAATGAATTATTAGAATCTTTTTCTACACATAACTACCTGTTTGATTATGCAAAAAAATGACTACTGAAGTAGAAAGAAAAGAAAGTTAGAAAAATTACTTGCAAAATATTCTGTTCCAATTCCAAGCCCCCGTGTGTTAAAAGAAGATCATCCACGTGAATTTATGTCGATAATAGTCGAGAATCTCTTTCTTTTTTTCTTTCAGTAACAACAGTTGATTGACGTTATAGCATAGGCTACAACTCCTGGAATTGCCATATTCCTGCAAAATATTTTCTTTCTCTTTCGAAACAAAAATTACTGTTTGAAAATGTTTCTAAAATAGGCCTATTAATTGAACATTGCAGTTTTATCTAGAAACAATGCTCTCGATTTCTGTTGTTTCATGTTTTCACGATTCAGGTGACAGTCGTGGCTTTATCTAATGAATGGTGTTCAACTGAATTCTCACAGATGAATTTAAACACTATTCTCTAAGCATAAATCTGCCGTTTCCAGTCACTTTTTAGGTAACGGGCAGAGGCATGCATATAATTAAAAAAAAATGAAAATTAACTTTTATTCAGCCATTAGAGATGCGTTAAGCTGGGAAACCCTTTTTAAAATCTTATGCTTCTAAAAGTTAATTCTAAAAAAAAAAAGAGAGAAATTTTTTCCAGTAATAACTTGGGTTAGAAATACTGACAGAAATACAAATGAAAAATCTCCATGATATTAAAAAAAATTGCTCGTTTCTATGCGTTGCCTCGAGCGAAGCGTGGGCACCAGCGACGTAGACAACACGTAAAGCGTCATGACGTTGAAAACGCTGGTATTTTCAGTTCACCGCATCACGTACAGTGTAGTGTAATTTTAGGACACAACACATGAGACGATTGTGTTAAATCTCTGTGTCTTATTGACATTTCGACTTCTTGCTTTTGCGATGAAGAAGACCTAACTGCAGGTACGTCGATTGTTTCAGTTGAGTCTGCGGCGATGTGTCATATCTGCACTGTTCTCATCACGACGCAATGTGTCTTTGAAAACTTCGAAGATTCATATCAAATCACCGTATAGATCTTAAGAAGTAAACAAGTTATAACACTGGTGCATCTTTGAAGATCTACATTAAAGATGTAATATGTCATCCAAGCTTTCGGACCCTAGGCCTTCTTCGGGGATTTAAAAAAAAAATATAGTGAAAAAACAAACTCCTAGGATGCGTGACGCATCACCGACGGATTATCTAGGATAACACTGCTGAAGCACGGGCGGCTTTTGGCTGCAGTCATTCTCATGGCCAATTTGTCCATCCTTTCATTGTTTGGATTTTGGACCTTTCTTTTATTGGCATACAACGATGCCCACAGCTGCTGCCATGTGAACTTATTGTCACCGTCCAAAACCAATGTGTGCTGCTCCTACCGCCCCCGCTGGACGACTTGGACGTGACGAATCCCTCAAATACAGCAAGCTTAATTTTGGTACTCAGATCATAAAACAGGCTGGCTAGAACTTCAGCAGATCGTTATAGACTCGTTTTTCCACCCTGACTTTAAGATGTATAGGCATACCCCAATCCTGGTAGGCCTACACGTACTGTGTGACAGAGAGTTTTTATTTTGACAAAGTGAATCAGAGAAGCTACGGGACACGGACTAGAAGTTCAATAAAATCAATACAACTCCACTGTCCACATGCGGCTGCCGGGATGGCTACCAAGCCTTGATTTTGTAGGCCCTTTTTTAATTCTCTTATTCAACGATAGTCTTAATGCTAGATCTTCAATGTTTAAACACTGAAGATCTCCAAAAGCAAATTCCTCTCCGACTTTTGGCAGTCTATCTTACGACTCCAGCCTACTACTATAACGGACTACTATATATTTAGGCCTAAAATTTTTTTAAAAATGTGCTCAAAGACACCAACTGAAAAGGAGTCATGCATTTATGGGATTTCACTGTGGATGTACAAGTTAATGTAATGTTAATAGACAAGAGCCATGGCCCTTCGGAGCTTGGAACATCACATGTAAAACTTGAACGATCCAAACTGGAAGGGTGATTAGATGTCAGTACAAGACAGTCTTCTTCATAACCTGTCTCAATGAGAACCATGGAGCTGTTTTAACTTCACGAGTGAGCACAACGCCATTACTCAAAGGATTAGTATGGCATAATATAACTTTTCTTGAGAGTTATAAAATATATATGATTTTATTTATTTATTTATTTATTTATTTATTTATCCTTTTGGATTGTTGGTAAAGAATCTCATTCTCCTACTATCTTATTGTTCTTGCCGACATAAATCGTCAGGGGCGCAAACAGAACAAAAGCTTTTGTGACTTGCTTGGTGCACAATATTGCTAGACACAATTCCCCTCGCAAAGAACACTTGTTTTGAAATCTACAATTTCATTTTTTTATCTTGAGAACTTGCTGACATAAATCGTCAGGGGCGCAAACAGAACAAAAGCTTTTGTGACTTGCTTGGTGCACAATATTGCTAGACACAATTCCCCTCGCAAAGAACACTTGTTTTGAAATCTACAATTGCATTTTTTTTATCTTGAGTAATTACTGATATATTTTTTAGTATTTTGCTTATTATGGCCCTGAATAATCTGCCACATGCTCTTCATACAACTGTAACTAGCTTTTACTGTGGATCTGTTAAATATTCGGTTATGTCTGCTTCCACGTGGGAAATGCTCTTCTAACAACTGGAGGAAGAATTGACCAATATTTGTTTTAACGTTTTTTAAGTAAGGTGGGTTGAACCAAATAACTCTTCTGTTGCGTCCTCTCTTTTCACTGGAGCGAGAATGGCTTGATTTAATGTCATTGCTCACTGACCTTCCGTTGTATCCCGCCGTTTCAAGCGCCGCCCTGTACACATTTGCAAACCCTTCTGCTATGACCCCCCTAGATGAAAGTATATAAATTTATTTATTCTAATTTTCTTTTACATAATAACACCAATCCGCTGTCATCTTGAAATACGTTCATATACATATGAAAAGTTTGAAGAGCTGTCAATGTTGATAGGAGCATTTATACATTAATTAATAAGACACCTCTACTCTGACTCTGTCTGAGTTTCACAGATGTATCCTATGGGTAATATGTCTGAGGCATGTTTTTTTTCAAATGGATCTTCATTTGTATATAATGTGGAATCTCCAGACATCTGCCTTCATCTTAAAATATTTTTATAATGTATACATATATATGCCAACCATTTAGTACCTTTACCTGCGTCTGAAGCAAGACGTGACAAGATTGACAAATCCCATCTAACGGGAAGCCCAGTTAAATGTATAGTTAAAAATCAATTTCTTTTATATATATATATATATATATATATATATATATATATATATATATATATAAAGTGTTTTTCCTGTACGAGTATATATATATATATATGTAACAAAGGAAATAAAAAATGGCATTTATTTTACCCCGACCGGTTTCATTGCATCTTCAGGGGTTTTTTGAAAGAGAGTCAGTTACTCCGCGGTACAGAAAATATATTTTAAAAGTCTAAAAGTCAAAACAAGTCACATAGTGATTGGAATGGTTAATTTAATTATTCGTCGTAAATGTTTTCGCCTCTTTCAGGCTCGTCAGACAATAAAAAAATTATATAGC